ATTCCTGCTATTGGTTAAAGCAGCTTAGCAGGGAAAAGAGAACACTTGGTTTGATGCAAGGTGTCTCCCTGCTAATGGAAACACCACAGAATCACTGTCACATGGGACTGAGATCACACAGGGATCAAAATCATGCTCACAAAAGGAGCAGGTGCAGCCCTACTAAACATATAGCTTGAAGGGAGAGTATTTAGTTGGCATGGTGTGTAGTTGAGAAACACAGTTTCAGTGTGTAAGGGTAAGGCCCACCTGTAAGAGATGAAGGAAAAACTTTATACATTTAAAGAAAAGAAAGGTAAAACTACAGGACCAACTTTTAAAAACCATGTTGGAATGTAAATGTAACAGTGAGTCCTTACTAGGGTTTTTCATCTGGTAATGGTTCATCAGAGCTAAAGCTTCCATGGCATCGTTGATGGATTCCCACTCCAGAAGACCTGATGAACTTCGCTCACCTTTTGCACCACATAAGACGACTCATTAGATGACCAGTTTTTGCACTGAACTAAGCTGAGATCTGTATAGATTACAATACACCTGAGGAAGCCACCTAACAGATGCAACACAGCCAAATTAACAATATCCAAAACCAGATGGAAAGTATGGAATGAAATTCTAACTCTATATCAAAACAACTGACAAACATTTTTTATACCCATGACTTGGCATTCATCTGGTAAAAACAAAAAAAAAGATGCATACTGTTAAAACAAATATAATTTTCTCTTAGTCTCCAAGGTTTCACAGTTTTATACATGAGACATATATCTGAATCCCATTTTTTAATTAATCTAGCTGCATTTAGAGGTTGGCTTTGATTACCAATCACTCAGCAGTGTGTTGTATACAACAAAGGGAATTCTAGGATGTACCTACAGAGACTGTGCAAGTGTAAAATTAGCTAAACCTTTTTTCCCCAACCATGTACTGTACTTAAGTGTGCAAAAATGCTTTGTTTGGGCATTTTGTATTCTTACACACATCTGCCAACCCACTCATTACTTCACTTCTTGGAATTTAGATGCCAGAATCATCAATACACAAATCAGAGCACACCAGTTACTAACATTGGCCAGACAATAACTACTC